GTGTGTGTGTGTGTGTGTGTGTGTGTGTGTGTGTGTGTGTGTGTGTGTGTGTGTGTGTGTGTGTGTGTGTGTGTGTGTGTGTGTGTGTGTGTGTGTGTGTGTGTGTGTGTGTGTGTGTGTGTAAAATATTGGGTTTAAGGGGTATTGGGAATAAAATATTAATAAGTGAGTGAGTATATGAATAAATTATTGAATGAATGGATGAAGTAAGAAAGGAAAAAGAAAGAAAGGAAAGAGAGAAGGGAGGGGGGACGAAAAAGGAAAGGAAGGAAGAAAGAAAGGACGGAAGAAAGAGAAGGAAAGGAAGGATGACAGGAAATAATTCATAAATAAATAAAAACAGCCATGGAGCTAAAATTACTAGGGTCTCTGAATAACACCATTCTAATATCGTTTGACACAAGTTATCTCTCTATAATATCACAACAGTAGCAGAGTAATGACAGGGCAGTAAAGTGAGAGAGCTATCAACCTACCTGGGCTACAAGGGGCCATGGGGTCACATCAGTTTATATCACCTGTGGCTGACCAAAGAAAATGTCAGACCAGGATTTGGGAGGGATTTCTGGCATAAATCAAACTGACTGCAAAGTTTCCATGTTATTAACATATGGGGATGGTCCAAATGAATAAAATATAACAGCATAAAAGATCATCTTTTAAAAGAATTTTAGCATATTGTTTGTAGTATGAAAAATGCATGGCTTCATAAGAAGAATCACTCTGTACATGAATTATTGCAAATTTTAGAGACACTACTCTTTTCCTGATGTCTAATGCCTTTCCTGATCCACCATCCTCCAACCTAATTCTTCCAACCCCACAACCTTGAAAAAATTTAACCCTCCCCCCCCAAAAAAAAAAAAAAATAAATAAATAAAAAATAAATAAATAAATAAATAAATAAAAACTTGGGTCTTTTAAAGTTAAGACTGACTTTCAACTCCAAATTAAAACACTTTTAAGTGAGCAGACTTTTAGCCACAGTGGCCATCTTAGTCATCATTTCAATTGCTGAGAGCCTGTGGACTTAGCATTATATTTAATAATATCACGTGATATAAAATCACATTCCCCTGTGCAATGGCTTATACTGGATTATATAACCCATAAGGTAAGGAATTCTTTACACTGGGTGCACTGGCTTTTCACTAGCCAATAGGTGAGATATTGATATAAATACAGCAACCTAAGCATTCAAGTCTCGTGTAAAATCACTCCTCTGCCTTGTTTAGGGCTTTAAAAGATTTATGACATTTCAATATTTAAGTGTTCTTAATTCAATTATGAATACCAAACTTATTATGTCACTCTTATATATGATATACATAAATAACATGTACATGAAACGGTTCACGAATAAAACTACATTAAATACTGAATTAATATATATAATCTAATTATTAGGTTTATTAAGCAGCCATATGGTGGTGTCATTTAGATCCTAACCAGCTCTGGTTCAAGTCTGTATCAGCACTTACACTTTATCCCAAATGACACGATGATGACACATTCTTGTGTTAGAAGACAAACACAAATCAAAAATGCAATTTTATCAATATTCTTTTAATAAAATATCTTAATATGACCAAAAACATACATTTCTTTGACTGTTATAAATTTTTGCTGGATTAAGCTCTAGGTGAAAATATATTACATATTTATATGATCATAAACCATATAAATTTACATGACAAGTTGCTCCTATTATTCTTATGACATACATGGCCATTAAAGGAGGTATCAGTCTTAGCTGATATTAGATAATAAGTGCTTTTAATAGTAAAAATGAAACCAAACTGCAAAGACAGAGTTAAAGAGTTAACCAGAGTTATAGAGTTTGAACAGGGATGTGATCCTCACATACACTTTGCATTATATAAATATAAATACAGAAATGGAAGGTACATGCATGTTTCACTTTCCATAGTTTATAATTCCATTTATAATTTCTACATATTCACTACACTGATAAGGTTAACCCTTGGACACTAGTATACATGTTGGGTGTGGTTTACTTCTTGAACTACTACAAACTAATGTTATAGATGTTCATCTAATAAGAAAACAAGAAAATACTTTTTTTTTGTGTCACAAGGTCACTATGCATCTAAATATAATAAAAACAACTAGATTTATAATACCAGTTAAAATATAATTCCTCCTGTCAAAGAGAATCATTATTAGTGAGGCAAAAGCATCACCACCCACCCACCCATATATATGTGTGGCCAGACACTAATTTGGTACAGGGCGTGTACAAAGTTATGCAATGCTGTAATTACAGACTGTAGCCATAGAGAACAGCAAGGAGATATATTCAATTATTCATTGTTGTGCAACTGTCACTAATCAGCCCTTGCTGTGCCTGGTTCTGTGCTGTGACTAGCTTAATCTGAGATCTCATGGAATTCATGTACAACTTACAAAAACAAAGCAAGCCAAATCACAAGTGCATATTACATGTAAACAATAAATGAATTTTAGATCAAGAATAATATACTTAAAAAAAAGGTATAATTATTCTTTGAGGGGGTGGGGTGGGTGGGTAGGGAGCAGTATAAAATGCATATATATCATGGTCCATGGAGAGTACAAATAATTCAGTACACATAATGCCAGCGGGTATATGGACTATAAAATATATCGCTACCCCCCCCCCCCCCCATCCTCTATTTTCTCCTTAGCATACTTCTCTTACTAGTAAATGTTTTAAAAAAAGCAAGAGAGATAAGCGTCAGACTTTGCCCTGAATAACTGTAAGTAGGACATTTAAGGAAGGGGTCTGGACTTGGGAGATAATGCCAAGGCACAGCCGCAGATGCCCACCCAACTGGGACATGAAACAACCAATCAATCAACACAAAAAATCAATAATTGGCTACATTCCTTACGTTACACAAACTGTCTGGGTCGACCATATCAATGCTTTGAATGTAGCTGCTCGGTGCTGGGCCACTGCTAGCAGTTACAGATACAGGGTATAAACGTATGAAGATGATGGATGAAAATGACACACTTGTTCGCTTCGCTCACCCTCACCTTTGCCAATCTCGTCTCGCCCTGCTCCTTCAAACACTCGAGAGGAAATCCAAAAATTTAAATTGACACTCTGGCTTCGCTGTGACAAACAGCGCAACCGTGCTATATCCTTGCTTTAGATAGACAATGAACTATCCGCCACGCGTTTAAGGCTTAATAAACGCTCGTCAAATTATCATATGATACCCATTCATTAATGACGATGTCCCTCGTCTGTCACCTCAAAGAAAAATGGCGGTCGCCGGTTGACAATGCTAAACAGGTGCGCTAAAAGTTGGAATAAAGTTTTTAAGGCTGTAAAACCAACGCTTACCTTCAATAAAAGGTGTAGGTCTTCCTCGCGGGTCTTTCTTTTAGAGGAATGTTAAAGTTAAGTGACTTCTTTCTCACACAAAGTGGCGGGTCACACCCTAAATGTCACCAAACTGGTGGAGATGTGCACAAACCTGAATGACGTCACCGGATGTTGTGCACCTCGCCCAGGTGGCGCTGAAATACGAACACCTGTGGGATAGCTGAGTGCTGCGCCAGCTTATTATGGGGAGAAATGGGATGAAATAATAATAACGTGATTTATAAGAGAAGACGGGACAGGTAAAATGTTATTTAAGATAGTTCTTAGATAATGTATTATTGCCAAAACGCAAGATTCCATGCGTAGACCTACGGTGTCAGGTTGGGTTTGAATGGGAATTGTAAGAGGAGTGAAACTTACTCGAATTAGATAGAGTCCACACATTATTATTATTATTTGTAGGTAAGCTAGAGACTTGAATTAAGTTTTAGTGACACTAATTGTCTGTCTCTTTTTTTTTTTTTTTTTTTTTTTTTTTAGCCAAAACGGAGCCAGAAGTGCAATATTGGAATATACGTGCAATACGGGAAATACAAATTGATACACTGTATCTTCCACAGTGTATCAGTAGAGCTTCACCTTCTAACATTGGCTGAATGGAGAACCAGGAGGACTGGGAGGGGGGGGGGGGAGTAAAAAATACAAAAAAAGTGTTTCCCCAAATTTCCACAAAAATCTGACATGCTGTAGTGAAAACTTAAGTCCTTGTTCTAATACATGGCATGTTAATGGTCTTGACACCCTTGCCAACTTAAAAAATATCTAGAAATTTTCCCCTTGAAAAAATGTTCACTTTCAACTTTTTCTAGATTGTGGAAATTAGCATTGGTCATATGTAGTACTTCTATAGCTGTTCTTAGTTATATTTCAACACAGGTTCAGTTCCCATTATTTGCAGTAGTTGTATAGCAGTGTGCAATGTAAAAACGGGTAGAGATCCAGGCCTGTAGCCATTGGCACTGTATGCTTAATTGGGTTGAGTGACTTGATGTTACTTCTCTTTCTGACAGTATGGGTCTCCAACTCTGCTTTGTAATTAAAAAGCATTCTTATCCACTCCATTGTTTATCTAGTGTACCTTTGAAAGAATTTACTGATTTAGCATTCATGGTAAATGTTCTTGAAATAATTTTACATTTATTCATTATGGAATATTAATTCTGATTAATTTGAAAATTAATTAGGAAGATTAAAATCAATGGATGAAATAAATATTAATAACATTTTAATCTTCATAGCAAACAAGTAGAAAATTCATGTTGTGGTCAAAACTGCAAGAAACAATAAGATTGCCTCTTTTGGCTGTGTTAGAGAAGTTGGAAGGCAATGATGTGGTAGAGAAGATTTAAGTGTTGTACATACAATCCAAATACAATCAGGTAGTATCATTCGTGATACACAAAAAAATGTCATACTATGTCAGATATTTTCAAAATCTCATAGAGACCTACTTAAAAAATGTAGTCAAGTCAGAAGTCAGTAACATTATGCATTTTTTAAGGTCCCATCACATCTGGTCCTTAATTCTTAAGAGAGGGCTGTGCCACATCTTGAATTTGTAATAAGTATTTACATGTTTAACATACTGATATATAGGGTTAATCTTTAACATGGGGTTGACTTGAAGAAGGTGAGGTAAAGGACTCTGTAAATATACAGCCTGCAGTGCAGTGTTAAGTTGCTGGCCAAGATTACAATTTAAGACTTACACCCCATATCCATAGATTTTTAGATCGATCTATCCCTGTGGGGAGTCTCACTAGATTACTGTCAGCTTGGCCGGCTTAGGCATCTGTCCCAATATATATATATATATATATATATATATATATATATATATATATATATATATATATATATATATATATATATATATAAATAAATGCGACTGTGCTAATTATGTGCCATGCAAAATCAGATATGTGGCTATAGATCTATAGGCTCTGTAAACTTTGTGCTAGAAAGGAATAAGATAATTATCATTATTGTAACGTGAAACGCATCTTTCCCAGCCACCAGGTGTCTGTACTTGGGACAGACAGAGATGTGCTTTGCATGATAAAAAGCACAGTTAGTCTTAAAGGGAAAACAGCACAAAATGAGATCAAGGTCATATGCTTGTTGTATTTTTTCTTTTCAGCTCCAATATGTAAAGCTCAGACATTCACAATTGTTATCATAAAAGATGTCATTGAACTATCCCCCACCAGACTGTATGGACTGTCCACCAGGTGTGGTCAATGACTGTCCACTCCTCTTTCCTGTGTGTCCAGAGTCACTGGGAGCGGACGAGGACTGCCCTCTGCTGGACTCTGGGTGAGTTAAAATATTTAGATAAATGAATTGTTTGATTTTATCTCTCTTTCTTTCTCCTTTTCTCTCTTTAAATTTGTTTCTTAATTCTCTCTCAATCTCTATTGTCTTCCCTTCTTCCATCCCTCCTCCTTTCTTCCTTCTTTCCTTCCTTCCATTCTGCAAGCTGTCATAAACTTATAACATAATCTTTTTTTGTTCTTTAACTTTTATCGTATCTAACTCGATCATAACTATTGTTGTCTTTTTTATGATTTTGGATTTATCAAATATGGTTATCTGATATAGCACTAGTTTGTTTAACGGTGGACTTTGGCACTGTCAATGTCTCAGTAGTTAAGAAGGATGTCACTAGAGGGCAAAGATACAGGAGATCATGCATGCAAAATAGGAATGAGAAATCTCGAAAGAATAGAAATTTGGTAAGTACAAAGTTAACTTTGTATTTGCTGAGTAATTATGGACAAGTGATAAGTAACCCCATATCAGAACCAAAAGTGTGCAAGGTATTTAAAAAACAAATATTATATTTGTTGAAAGTTTAACACCTTTACAGTCACTTAATTAATGAACATAATACAATGTAAAGTGTCTGTTGATTAGAAACTGGTATATATAATCAGTGATGACTTTGCAGACATTTAAATATTGTCATGTCATTTTTTTCTCAAAAGATTTAATTGCTTTCCATGTCAGTGTATACCTTACAGTTGGATGTTTGCAACGGTAGTTATCTTGCAATGTTGCAATAAATAGTAAGCAGCTGATACGAGCTTTGATTTTTCGAGCATGTGAAAAAAAGGAAAGCAGTTTAATAAACTTGTGACATGGCTTTAATAATAGCAGAGAACAGGCTTCAGTGAGTCTGAAAAACCACATGATTTCATGTCTCTTGTTTGTGAAAATTAGATCCTATCTAGTACTAGTAATGCTGTACTTCTAATAGTGCAGATCTAGAGTAAATGTAATGAACATTTTATATCCAGGCTATATGGCATAATTATGTGAGGAATGGCCCCAAGCATAGTAATCACTATGTTCAATACTTGATAAGACAATGAAATGTATCACCATATTGTGATAACCAATGGGGCCCTGGATGATGTATTTGTATTGTAATCTGAGGACATGGCCCAGGATAAGGATAGGAATATTGAGCCAGGGAACAAATCGCCAGGGCAAATCTAAGGTGATAACTCTGATCAATCAGTTGCTGGTAGCAGTGTCTGTCACTAATCACTTGTAGCAGTCATGTGTGGAATAATCATGGTCTAACCTTTGATGGAAATGGTGGGAACTGTTGACCAAATGATCAGAAAATAATTTTTATAATATAAGTGATGATTATTACTGGGATAGACAGACTGAGTGCTGTGGGGTTATGAGATGTCTTCCTATGTCAGCACTTGCAGTGGAGAAGGTTTGGAGAGACACGGTAGTGAGGTATCAGTGCTGTTCAGGTGAGACAGATTAACAGATAGGCAGTAGTTTTAGGCCTTTTTCACATTAAGTGAGGGCTACAGTTTTCTGCATATAGTTCCAGTTAGAGCGATTGACAGTGTAATAGCCTGGCTACAGTATTATGTTGGAGAGTTCGGTTCCCCCTGTTCTCAAATAAAATTAAAGTTTGTCTTAGATTTGAGACCAAAAGTTTTCAGTGTGTATTAGTCCATTAAAAATAATTATATACCCATGTCCTTCTTGTTATAAAACTGGTGCAGTTTTTCTTTTTAATTAATTGATCAAAATACCTGGATTTTTCTCTTGTCAGGGTGGACTTAAATTTTGGTCTTGAAATTTAGAACCAGCTTTAAATTTAGGTTTGAAGTCTTCTTGTGAAATCGACCACAATCAATTCTTTTAATTCAGGTTGACAATAATTGGGTTATCATATTATTAATTTTATCAGCCAAATTCATATGCACCTGCCAGTGAGATGCACAATGTAGTAATACATGGTTCATGTATTTGATTGATGATGAAGTCTGTAATGTAGTCTTTTAGATAGCATGTCAAATGCACAGAGAAATTCATATAGTTGCCTTTTTTGATATTTGTGATGGTCAGTATACTTAATTTGTTTTAATGATATAAAGCAGTATATTTTACATGTTAATTTTAACTGAATATAGTAGTAACTGGGCAGCAGCAATAGTAGTGGTAGAATTTTATTTTTTTGAAGAGATTAATCTGGACTACCCTTCACCAAAAAAAAAAACTTAATTGAAACCACAAAGTGCTCTATTTTTATATAGCTGGCCTGACACATATATTGTCTCACATGTTGAATGTCATTATATGTGACACGTGTAGAAAAATATGTCAAAGGTGATGTTACTTCATACTGTTACAGATTACTTGTCAATGATTGGTTCATTATTAACCAGTCATGACCCATTTCCACAGGCAATGAAGAATATATGACTGACATTAGGCGCAACTAAGTGCAAAGTTTATTTTTAGTAGACATAACACAAATTTGATTAATTATAATGCCATGATGAGATATATATTAAAAAAATTTGAAGATTAAAGCAAGTTTTGGAGTTTTTTGTAGAATATTTTAACGGGTTCAAGAGTTTGATCCGAGTCATGTTGCAGTTCGGTCTGTTGTATATTTGTGTGAATCTGATATTTATCTCGCTTTTAGTAATGAAAAATTATTTAAAATAAAATTTAATTTTGTCTTTCATATATATTTATGCAGCAGTTTAAGAAATTGTTCATTTAAAATGTGTGATTACAGAAGATTAGTTATAGTAAGTTTGTCATGATAGAGATACTAGTACATGTATGTTCCTGTAGTCTACATTCACCTTTGATTTAATGATCATTTTATTTATTTAGTGGTATATCAGTACATCAGGAGCAATTGTGTGTCTTCATAAACAATTTTTCACCAATTGTTGACAATTTTTACATATAAATCTATGAGAAATTGAGAGTTGGAATTTCTCCAAAATTTCATGGCAAGACAAAAATTATTCAGTTAAGTCAGAAAGGATTAATTGTGCATACATTAACATATATTTATTTGCTCAGATAAACTTTCGTGACATTTAAATATGTAAAATTACCAGGTAAAGCACTTGACTTTCTCTGCTGCTCCAGAGCAGTGTACATAAATTGCTCATCGCCCCTGCGAAAATTTGTCTCATTAAATGTTCACTTACAGTTCTCGATCAGTCTAATCTAGAAAATTTGGTGTATTTTTTAAAACAGTTCTAATGTTGTTCTATGATGAATGTAACAGTTCGAGAACTGTTTTTGGAAAGTCCTTCAGAATGTCCTAGAACAGATTAAGAACATTTTTCATTAAAAGTGAAAAACATTATGTTCTAGGACAGTTTGAGAACCCTAATAGTGAGCTTTAAATGAAACACATTTTCACAGGGGCGGACATCCAGTTCAATCCAAGAGATGCATATGCAACCCCTGCATACGTGCATGCCCTGATCATGACAAGTTCAATGTCATATAGTTATGTAACTAACAACCAGCCGATCGTGTCATATAACATATGTTTAACCCTGTCCTTGATTCCCCTGCAGTTTACAGAAGTGATAAAATTTGTGATTATATAAATGATTACACATCTTGTATCTCAGTTCTTCTCGATATTGGAATAAGATAAGACAAGGTTTTAGAGAGCATGTTGCTTTCACTGAGTGATCATTCTGTATACTCACTGGGGTCAGCTGGAAAAAGGGTTCAGCTAGGTCATACCCTGATTACTTACAGCTCAATGTCTGAGTTGTCACTGTGACCAGTGTTCTTGCAGGCCATAATATGTATGGCATTATATATACAGTGTTAGAAATTAAGGCTGGACCGTCTGACAACTTTCAGAACGGGCTGAGAATTTTTTCCACCCAGCAGACATTCAGTCCAGCTTCTTTTCAAGATGGTTGTACTTTCGGTCCACCAACTAATTTTCCTAAGTGGCAAACACTGGCATTATATATATATAGGATGTTGTTGCTGGGTGCACATGTGCACATACTAGTGGGTGGTGGGGGGGGGGGGGGGGTAGTGCGTGACAGCATTCAGAATTAAACATCATATAGCAGCTGGATTGATCCAACTCCGCAGGATATTATTATTAAAGTATATTCAGTGTAATATTCATCTTTATTTTTTTATTTGCCTGACATTGGGTTTATAGCTAGTTAAAATTGGTTAAGTACCCCATAGCAACTCGAGGGCGTACGTCCTGTCAGACACTCAAGCCAATTACAGTGATTGCACTTTGAGAGAATCTCCTACAGAGTTGGATCATTCTAGCTAGCACAATAGGTTTATCTGAACACTCCCATATACTAGTTTGTAAGCTGGATTTGCGTACTGCATGTAAGATATTCAATTAATGGATTTAAGTTTAATATGATATATTTTTAATATGTTAGATTTCAAGATAACCAGCAATTTGACTAATATAATAAAAAATAATTATAGTCCTCCTTAAAAAGCTTATACTAATTTTTATTGCCTTTACTTTTCATGATAGGTGTTACTGATAGTGTACCCACAGCCTCAGATATAGATATTAACTCAGTTGGTTTCAGTATGGCTAGCTTGAGCCTCTCTAAAAATATAGAGAAATGGATGATTAAAAAAAATATATATTATTGAATTTAATTAGCAGATTGAATGCCTTATTCTGCTGGAATCGCATGCTGCTCTATCTAGGTATCTATAACCACACAGAGACTATGAACAGGTCCCTTAGAAAAATGAAAAGTTTGCAGCAACAAGTTTACAAGAAAAATTTTATTGCTGCTGATTTGCAGCCATATTGCAGCAAATTTGCTGCAAATTTGCAGCAGGCCTGATTTTGCTAAGCAAAGTTATGTACTCTTGAATAAACCTGGTTGTGCTTTTTGAAGAAATATTTGACATGTAATTTCAAACTTGCCAGCACCTTTGGATTCTGTGACCTACTTCAGCATACATACTAGTAATAGTCTGTGCACTTGTTTACTTCCTTTCTTACTTTATTATATTAAAGACAGAGATCCTTTAGAAATGGCACAAATGTTAAACATTTACTGTGTGTTACATTTGGGAAGCTAAGGATCTAGTCAGTCAGTAAGGAGTCAGACTAAATCAATTTTCATGGATTCTGCAGTACATCTACTTACTAGGTAAGGTACACAATTAATATAGCATATTTATTTCATACTAGACCCGTATTCATAGTGGGGTTAACTTAATGCTGGTCTGTTTTTAGTCTAAAAATGCCTGATTCTAAACACAGTCACAATAGTCATATCTAAATTGCATTGCATGCTGCTGCACTTCCTCACTCTCTCGTCTCTCTCTTTCTCTCTCTCTCTCTGAGTTTGCATGAGTGTGAGTATATGTGCACAAACAAACAAATATATGTTATGTCAGAAGCAGCCGAAAAAGGGTCTATCTTGTTAGATGATAGATAATATATAGATTAAGTTTTTTATTCAAGGTCACAAGCAGAACCCAGATCATCTTAGTGCTTATATGTACATGTATGACCTAGCTACTCCTCTGTGATGGCAAGTACGCTATATAGTTAATAAATAACCAGTGGAGTGTCTATAGGAGCATCTATAGCTACCTAATAAACAATTTGAGACACTGTCTCAGAGCTGGTCAGTTGTTATAAAACAGACTTTGAAGATTGTGAAATCCCCAGCCAGATAGATACCCTGAGCTGGACTGGCCTGGAATATATACTGCGGTCGTCTAAAGAAATACAGTAGGTATACATACGTGCAGGGAACAGTCTGTCAGTTTTATAACCATTATACACTGATGAATATTGGCATAAATGTCAGATGTCGGTTGTCAGTCTATGAGCTAAGATATGATCCAGGCTCCTTGCTGAACGCAGGGGTCTGAACTTTGGAGTGTGGGGGTTGATAAATTTTCACTGTCGTTATTTTTAATTACTGGTGTAATAATAGTTATTTGTAAAACTCCTTGCTTGCACGTGGCTGTGTGCTGATCACAATACTAGTATAGATTTCCATTTACTCACACGCGCGCACGTGTGCACACACACACACACACACAATCATTTGCACAGGCAGTCATTCAGACTATCACACTCACACAGGAGGTGACTTTAAATTCTGTATTTAATGATCATCAAATTTTTAAACTTTTCCAAGAGTGTAAAATTAACATGATTTTTTATTGGAAAGAGAAAATGCGAACCTATTAAATAATGATAATAATAATAATAATAGTGATAATTTATTTAGCTAATCTATAATCCTTTTAGCTAATCTATAATTCTATATGTAAGTGACACTGATATCATTACGAGCACTTGAAATAATCATATTAGCGAATGACATGTCAGAGATATAAAAATAAACAACTAATAAAGAAATTTAATTTATTAGTTAGATTCTTATATGGGGAAGATGATATTCACATACAGTATATATACAAATACTATTATATATGGTCAGTGACCTGTTCTGCAGTGATATCAAACACCCCATTTCCAGAGATTAGATCGACCTACTTTAGATCGACCTAACTCCCTGGGGGTTCCCGCTAAATAGCTGTCAACCGGGCGGACACGAAAGTTAATTAACCCCTTACAGCTTGTAGTAGGCGGGACGGACATTTAAGTCGGATTATCTGAAAGTAATCTAGTGAGACTCCCCGCGGGGATAGATCGATCTAAAATCTATGGGAATAGAGCCAAAGTGTACTGATATGACCTAACTGGTGCACCTGTCAGCCAAATATCTTACTATTGTCATATGTGGTAAACATGTTTATAAATATATCCACCTTAGACAGGCGGGTAAATAAAAAACATCCCAATATCAACTTTGTTGTTGTTGTCTTATTATTGCATTGGAATCAAACTGAGAAGGCACAAATTTATATGTTTGTATGTTACCGTAGTTTTCTCATATTTATAATGGCACATTTCGTTTCTTTCAGGAAGATGACATCGGAAGAGGACACAGCAAAAGGCTTGGGGACGCCCTCTTCTGATTCTGATGTAGAGAAAGACTTGGAGGAACCAGAGGTGGAATTTGTTGTACATAGACCTCTAAATGGCCAGATGGAAGATGGCCCCAGCAACGGGGGCGCTGGAGTTGTTACGAGTTCCCCTATTCAGTATCTCAGTCGAGAAGTTTTGTTACAGGAGAACGAATTGCAGGCAGCTAACTCATTGTCAAATTCGGTGGAGTCTAGCGCTGTCAGAGTTACAGTAAGTTTTATATGTGTGTGTGTATCTTCGTGTATGTGTGTGTATGTGTGTGTGCGCGTGCGTGTGTGTATGGTCAGAATACCTGTCAGCTTAATATCAACTCAATGTTATATCTCAGAAGCCTCCTAAAAAAGAATGAGTGAATAAATGAGTGTATGAATGAATGAATAATAAAAAAAAGAAATAGAAAACAAAGCAATACCTATAAACAGCATTTCTTAACTATATTATTATTTTTATTATTTATTTATTTATTTATTTATTTATTTATTTATTTATTTATTTATTTATTTATTTGTTTTAGTTCAGAAAACCCCTAGGCCCACTTCTCACTGCAAGGATACCTTGTAACTCGTTGAAACCCATTAATTACACAGAATCTCTGCACTCAGATATAGAGGGCAGTAGTGACTCCTGCAAGACATGGAGGACCACAGTATGAGTTTTTGAATTACCCCCTTCTCCCCCCCCCCCCAAAAAAAAAGAAAATTATTCTAGCCTCTGATTAAAACAAAACCAAAATTTTTCACCTCAACCTTACTTGATACAGTAAAATTGTGCCCATGAGCTATATTATCCCATATATGCCAATTGAAGCGAAGTAGAAGTTTTTTATCATTAGGTCTTTTAGTGAAATCATTTATCCTGCAGTATGCACCTCTTATCTGCTCACCTGTTTGCTTCTTCCTTAAACTAAACTAAAAAATAGGCTGCCCATTTCACCTCCCTGATCCACTTTGTTTTATACGTGATTTTAAACATGTTAAACATAATATGTCATTTTATTTTGGATTTTTCAAATCCTTTTATAATTTTAAAATTTTTTTAACTAAAACTTAATTAGAAATGTAGGCCTATGTTTTGTTAAAGATTCAAACGTTTAAAGAAGCTGAAGATTGGAATGCATGCCTTGAATCCCCCCCCCCCTTCTCCCATCACCATTACCATGCTCAGCCAGCTATAGGATGAAGCCACTAAAACCAACTTCATTGACGTGAACTTAGCAATTAATGTACATAAATAAAAATATTTCTTATTTTTACAGTTGTTTCTAAATTCAAGCCCACCCCCACACCCATCAACCTTTTTGTCAACTGCTATTAGTAGTGTTAACTCCCCCTACGTACCATGGTACACATTATTCATGCTGCAACAAGAAACTTTGTATTTTCAGCATCTCTTTCTGAATCTACCCTTTCAGTTTTGTCTCATTCCAGATCACAGACCTAGACGGCTGGGAAGGACAGAGCTTGAATTTCACCACCTCTGCTTTGAAGAGGTGCAAGTCGGTGGTCTTGCAGCCCTACTTCAGACTGCTTACATTTGTGAGTCAACTTTTGTCCTGCTGCTTAATACTGATTTAACATTAAAGGTATACTGTGATGAAAAAACGGGTTAAAACTATCCGTTAGGTGCCCAAAAGTCATTTTTGAGTAATGAAAAAAAAGTTCTTACGTTTATTTAGTTTTTAAAGCCGATTTTATGCAGGTGTGAATGTAGTTTATGATACTCCCGCGTGGTGGCGCTTTAAGGCGAGTGACGTCACTAGCGTCAAGGCTCAGAAAGCCATATTCGATTCAGCTATCCGCTTGCTAGCAGTGCAAACTAAAAG